CCGGTCTAGGAGCTGCCGTCATCATCTCATCCCAAATTTACACCTCATTTAAAACCAGGATTATGATTTCTTATCCAATTCCAGCCTGGGGAGCTCCCTCTCAGATACCCAGTCCCAAAATCTGGAATCCTTTTACCTGGAGTCCAAATCCCTGCAAAGATATGAGTCAACGTTACCGTGAATGAGAAGCCCACGTCTGCCACCCTTGTACCCCCAGTCTATCATCCGGTTTTCCGACCGTCCAGGGGCCGCTGCTATAAATCCCAGCACTTGAACTGACGTTAGCATGTGGGATTTTCTCCCACAGTCACTCCCAGAGACAAGGTATGTGCTTGGGTTCCCCTGCTGAGCTCACAGCCCATTTTTTAGGCGCTGCACGGATGCAACGAGTAAGCAAGGTCAACACCTCACGGCTTGGTCTGCGGCCAAACTCACTGGGTGGACAAGGAATGACAGACAAGAGTTTTAGCCATGAATCTGTCCTCATTTTCCAAATCCTTCATATAATTTATCCAAGAACAGCAGTATTGGTGGATGGATTTTCCACTAACCTGAGGAGGGTCGCTTTTGAATAACTCAACGGATTCAAACCCTGTACAGAGGAATAAATCTTCACGCGGGGCAACTCGGCTTAATTTGGTGGCACTGCGCTGGAGACGGAGCCGATGGGGTTCGTACGAGCCCTTTCCATCCTGCTGATACTTCGGATTTCTCCATTTGGGGCTCTTTTGAGCCAAAGGACAAACTGCCAAGAATAAGGGTACCTGAGGAAAACGGCGTGGAGGCACGCGGGCTCCCGCAGAAGTTGCGTGACCGACAAGGTGCCCCTCTCCTCCTTCCCTCTGGCACTGGGCCCGGAGATATTTTGCTCATGATGCAACTTCCATGATTTCCATGGCAACCATCTTTTGTCAGGCCTCAAGACTGGGGATTTTTTAACAACTCCATTCGCCAATTCAAGCCCCAGGAGGAAGTGGGCTGCAAAAGGAGAAAGTTCTCATTCAGATGCAAAATAGCTGCCATAACAGCTGAAGGGGGCAGGGGGGGGACACCATCGCTTGGGCACAGCTGTTTTCATCCGTCTCTCCTTGGTTCACGCCGTGTGAAAGAGCCTCACCCAGTGACACCTTCGACACTGGAAGCCACGACGCGCGCTGGGGCGCTGGCGGCTGGCATGGGTCTGCGGGAGACCTCCCTCTCCTCACTGAAAAGCTGCTTCTTGGCGTCAGCAGGAGCTTCGATCTGCTTCTCTCCAAACCACCCTGGGGGCTTGGGAATGCGCTTGATGCCTCCTAGCCCCCAGCCCCTTCCTAGGCCACAGAGGTCCCCTGCCCTCCGTCCCCTTCTTGCAAGAAGCAACAACTTCCACCACTTTGTATCCCAGTCCTCGACAAGCTTAAAATTGACGTGTGAAAGGTGCTACGAAGAGGCTCGTGTGCCATTGGGTGGGAAACGATGCCCAAGACCCCTGTGCTGCTGCCGAGCGCTCGGTGCGGCAAAACCCACCCCCGAGGGGCCGGGGCTCAGCGTTTCTGCCCATCTGCCAGGGCACGGGCCTGTTACCCCTGCGAAACCACAAATACTCGGTGCAGGTTTGCCGGCCTGTCTTCCCGAGCTCCGTGCTGGGATACGGGGACACCAGCTCATACTCGGCTCATTCGCAGTCGGAGTCACGGAAGCCTTATAACCCCCCCAGCATCTCAGCCTGGGGGATCCATTGGCCTCATCCCTAATTTTTGCCCCAGAGGTCGCACCCAGGACAGCTTTGCCCTGCTCCCTAGGCTGGGGGGTACTGCTTTTCCCAGAAGACACCCAACTTCAAAGTCAACCTCCTCCCAAATAATTTGGCTGTTCATTAGAAAAGTAGCCAGCCAAATAAGTAGCATTTCGTGCTGGTGCACTCACCTTGGTTTTGTTACTGCCTATTTTTGCAGCGTCCTTTTATCCTGCCGGGTGACTGCAGGCACGGAAAGGTGGAAAAAGGAGCTGCCACACAGGGACAGATCTGAAAGCGGAAACATTAAACAGTTGATTAAACCGAAACAATCTGTAATTGTACGCTTTCCGCCTCGTTGGTACCTGAGCCATGAAATCCCTTCCTCCTGCTTTCGTAGCCGTTCCCCCTTTCCCCGCTCTCCAGGGCTGGCTCCTGCTCGGCGTCTCTCACCTCCAGCAGTTGCTGTCACCTCTGGAATTTGCTCCTGATTTAGAGAAATGCAGCGGAGAAATGCCTGGCAAAAGAAGGGATACAGCTGCAGAGGGAGACCACCTTTTGTAATTCCTACTTGGCCAAAAGCTTCCTCAGGAAACTGTCTTATTGGCCATGGATAAAAGGGAGCATCGCTAATGGAATCCTAATTGATTTTTCATATTTGCTGACTTGCAGCAAAGGGATAAGAAAATCAAAGACCTCCATAACCTCCATCAAGTAACAGAAAGAAGGTGCATGACAAAACACCCCCACTTCAGCTTTTGGGTGGAGTTTCCACACTCCATACGCTTTTTCCTGGCATGGGGCACACTCCAGCCCAAGCTACGAGGTTTTTGCCTGCATTAAACCCCTCCTTTCCGGAGGGCGCAAGGAGGCTCTTTGCTTTCACTCAAAAAGGCGATCGAGGATACGCAGTGAGAAGTGAGAGACAGTCGAAGAAAAGCAAAATCCTCCTGTGTGCAACTGATTAGATGAAGGGGACGAGACAAAAAGCTGAGTACAGAGAACAGAAGCTGCAGCAGATAAACAAGCTCGCGGCACAAACCTCTAAAGCTACAGAGAAACACTCAATTAAAACCCCAATCGCTAAACAAGCAGGAAACGTTCCCTCAGCTTCACAGAAGGAGCCAGAGATAAAGTCCAACCAGCTTATTCCTAATTAGAGGGACCTGAGGGTCAGGCTTAATTAAAACTCAGACCACCCCACCATCGGCATCTGCTTTACAGAATAAAACCCCAGCTGGTACCTGGTGCCTTTGGCTGAGAAACAAGACAGAGCTCCAGCGCTTCCAGCACCGGGCACCCCACACTCCTGCGCTGTCACCGGGGCGGCTGGGGACAGACAGGAAGGGTGCAGGTTTCGGGGCTGCAGAGGCGAGGGCGCAGCTGGGGCTGGACTCACCGGTCGTTGCTCTCGTGCCCAGCAAAGCTAAAAACCACTCGGCTCACACAGCGCTTGGCCACCGGCTGCAGCAGCGGGACACAGGGATTTCACCGGGAGCCTGTAAGCACAGTAAATCTATTCGATTACTCAGGTCACGCCCCAGGGAGGATTTTTTATCCCACCACCTTGAGTTTGCCTGGATGTGGCTCCACGCCTTTCTTTCAGCCAGTTTCCCAAATCCTAAAGAAAACACCTTAATTCTCCTTCCCCCTTTTTGAGAGATTAATCCCAGGAAACTCCCGGCTCCCCGCAGCACCTTTATCCCTCCCTACTGCTTTGTATCAACTCCACAGCAATTAGGCACCTATTTTGCTGCTGACTGCTGCTTTTCGTCTAACCGCCCGTGTCGCGTAATCACCGCGCTGTTCGGCTCCGGTGTGTGTCTTTCTCCACTTGTTTCTGCTGCTCTGGCACTTACAGCACAAATTATTCAAGGCAGGAACGGCCTATTCATCATACTTCCACGCTGCGCCTTGGCACGAGGGGCTGAAGGGCCTCCCCGAGAATACAAATAAACAGCGAAGGAAAAAGCACCAAGCAACTAATTCGTATTAAAACTTTATTAGAAACGAGGACACAGCCCCCCAGGAATGACATTATCTCCCAAACTGGCACAATTGAACGGCCATCATTAAATACAAGTAGCTACGAAGAAGGCGGGCGCGTCTCTGAAGGAAGGAGAGCTAATCCTCAAATCCGCTGCTTCCAACACGGCCAGAGAACGTTTGTCCACCACAGTTTGTGCACACGTGGGCACACAGACACCCACCCAGGCGGCGAGCTGGCACCCCCGGGGGGTGTTTGTGCTGCTTTCTGTCCCAAGAAGCAGGCCGGGACTGCTCTTAGGGGAATCTGTATTGCTTTAGTTCAGAAAGAAAAGAGCAAACCGTTGTGGCTCGATGCTGCTGCTGGTACGTCACACTGGGCACCTGGTCGGTACTTTCAAATCTACATCGCGCAGAAGTGACTCGAGGAATCACGGGACGGTTTGGGTGAAGGGACCTCACAGCCCACCCACTGCCACGCCCTGCCATGGGCAGGGACACCTTCCATAGCCCAGGGTGCTCCAAGCCTCATCCAGCCTGGCCTTGGACAATCCCAGGGATGGGGCATCCCCAGCTTCTCTGGGAACCTGTCCCAGTGCTCCCACCCTCTGCGGGAAGAATTCCTTCCTGATGTTTAAATGTTATCACTACTTTTGTTTCAATAGTAAATAATAATTATTAATTACTAATAAAAAACAGAGGTACTACTGTCATAGAAAAAAAAACCCCAACCTCATTTAACCACCGTCTAGAGAGGAGAAAAAAAAGGATAAATAGGGCCCAGTTTATACAAGCCTTGCCTCCTCCTCCTCCGCAAAAAATTCCCTCCTGTCTAATCCAGGACCAGTTTTAACCGCGCTAATTTAACAGCACCAACCACTATGATTGTTATTAGCGCCTACACGTGACTGCAATTCAGCCGCGTACTGTTCAGTACAAAACACGAAAAAGGAGGGAAAAAAACCCTTCAAATATACCCATTCCTCAATTTCCTTACAGGTATTTTCCGTGTCGTGTCATAAGAAAAGAATTTAAAGCAAAATAGAGGCACAAAAGCTACTGCGCTCAAGGCGGCGGCCCACGCGCACGTTAAAATCAGAACGATACAAAGAGTAGTCTAGTAGCAAAGGCAATATATAATATTTTATAGAAAGTGTTCGAAACATATAAAATTAGGAAATAATGCATAGGAGAGGGCGCTCCCCAGGCCCTGCAGCAACGCGCCGTTCGCCGCGCCGGCCGCACCCGCGAGTCCTTGCGGCGAAGGCAGGATTTAACGCCAGATCCCGAAAGGCGCAACTCACTGCCTGCAGAATTCGCTGGTTATGTTGGGCAGGGGGTAGGCAAAGAGGGAGAAATCCAAGATGTATTTTGGCAGGAGCTCTTTTATCAGCCGGCGCTGGGTGTTGCACAGGTAGTAGTGGAGCGTTTCTGCCGTCACGGGCTTGTACCACGACTGCCGCTCGGGGAAGCGGACGGAGGAGGGCGACTGGACTCGCTCCAGGACGTAGTTGGCGTCCGCGTTCAGGCGCTCGTAGGAGCCGATGAAGTCGTACCTCACGGCGCAGGGCTGGCACAGGTTGTAGATGGGCATCCAGTGCTCGTTCATCCTCTCCGCCTCCTCGTCCAGCAGGTACCGCAGGAACTCGGAGAAGGTCACGTCATCGCCCGCGGAGTTCCC